GGACATCCATGTCAATTATATTTTAAAGAAAGTTAGATTTGCATCCTACAAAATTAAATACCTTGGGAATATATTGACAGAAAAATATCTTCGTACATTATACCATGCACTGATTGAGCCTCATCTCACATATGGTATATTAGCATGGAGAGCTGCATGTTCCTCACATATCTATAATTTAGATGTTTTTCAAAAAAGTATTCTAAAAATGATATTTAAAAAACCGAAACTTTATCCCACTAAAAAATTATACGCAGATGTTCGAATGTATGATATAAGACAGCTTTATTTCTTACACAGTATCACTCACTACCATAAATTTGTAAACACCGACCAAAAAATTAAACATAATCATTATACCAGGTACAAGATTTACGTTTCGGAAATTGTTTCAAAAGACATTTAAAAAAGTGGCTACATTCTATATCTATGACTGAAATTCATAAACTCATAAATACGAACATCAAGTAAATACATAATCTACTGTAGCTAATTTTTGTCCTTTTTTGTCATTTGCATTCTACAGTTGCAACTTAAAATTATTGGTCCATGTACAGGCGATGCCTTCTATTGGGCCTGTTTTGATTTTATATTTATTTACTCATATTGTTTGTTATCTTTGTACATTGAGTGAATAAATATTATTATTATTATGTACGGGATGTCCGGATATAAATTGATCTTCTCTAACTTTTTTATATGACCTTTCAGAAAAAAACAATATATAAGAGTTACACGATCTAATATGAAGCTTTTTAAGTAATATTTTCTTGCATACAAAAATATTTCATAAAGCTTCATATCAGACCCTATAAATTGTATGTGCAAATTTTTCTTCTAAAGGGTCATATAGAAAAGTTAGAAGGGGTCAATTTATAGCCGAAAATTCTTACTCAAGGTTACTACTACACCAAAAGACACGAAAAAATACAAATCGCTCAATCTTCGTTTTTTGACGTTTCCGATGAGCCTGATCATTTTTTAAAAAAGTTTCAGAGGTAAAAAAACTTGGGCTCTGGTTTGTAAGGGAGTGGGGAGGGTTTATCTCAATTTATGATGCTAATACATTTACACGCTCCCAACACATCATAGCGTCGTCGTTTTGACGAAAAAGCTCCTATATGCTTATAGCAGTTTTTACAGAATGACATTAAAACTAAATTTAAGGAATTGTTACATAGAAGGTTTCATCAAAACAACGAAGATACATTTCTCTGTACATTAGCTCTAAAAACTTTGAAAAATGAGTGTTCTGGTATGGAATCACACGCAACAGCATAGTCTTTTATATGCTCTGACCGAGTTACCATGTTGCCACGTCTGCCCGAGCTAGATTTCGGAGAGAGGCGATGTTTCCAAAGGCACTGCTGGTATTGCAGGAATGAATGTCTATAGACTAATTGTAAGGGCCTGATTGATTGAGTTTCTTCTCATAGGGTCAGGTTTTTTATGTACTGAGAAGCGCGTTGCGTGGGAGGTGCAGAGTCAACCTGCTTGATGCCATTTTTTATGTTCCAATCGTAACAGTTGTAGGGTATATCCTTTATGTTGGAGTTATGTAAATGCATTTATTAGGGTACGGTCCTTTTTCCTTATTTTGAATTTTTACGCTTCCGCGGGGCCGCTGGGTATAAAACAAATAAAAAAGCATTTCTCTCAAGTTGTAGGACCCTATCCTAATATGGTAATGATGCTTCTTTGCGATGCAAGTATCCCAAAAAGTTAGTTCAGATTTTTGGTAGAATAAAATCGTTTTTAGTTCTTACGTCATTAGTTGGCATTGGAAGTAGAAAACTGGCGATATTCAATTTGCTCCAACTACAGTTGACCCAGCTCGAGGCACTCATAGTAGAAGCTGTCAATTTGACGGGATTATTCGGACATAAACTGCTGGAGTCAAAATACAATGTGTATTTAAATCAAAGTGATTTGGTCACTTTATCTGTGTGTGAGAGGTACAGACTGAGGAACGAAAGAATGACGAATGATCTAATGCGTTACTGATCAAATCATTTCTGATAACAAAAGTATTCAATTCAATAAGAATAACAGGCAATGCATGCGGAAAACGTATGCGTGCGAAAAAGTGCTACTTTCTGTACGCAGATGCGTGTTGAAAGTGAGTACCTTCCGGTAGAAAAACATTATTACTAAGTTGCTGTAAGTTCAAATATCAACGTATTCTTTCACTGAACTATATAAGTACCGGGCATCCCTGTGGCAACTGTTTTTCTGTTTTTTATTCAGTTTGTATCCAGGTGGAGCAGACGTAATTTATTTGTTTCGTTTTGTCCTGCAAATTAAATTATTTTCCATTCAGGGTCCAAAAACGGCTCCGCTGAGGATTTAAAACTCCATTGATCGAGTTTAACTACAAGATTACTGTTTGGAGCTGCATCTATGAACTCCATAAAAATGATATTGAAAAAGTGGAAAAGAAGTTTCTGAAGTATCTATCCTACAGGAGTGCCTCCAAGAGGATATGACTACACATTAGTATTGAATATATTTGGTGTCCCTTCTTATCATATTTTTCTACAAATTACTACATGGTAACATCGATTGTCATGTTTTACTATCGCAAACTGATTTCCTAGTACCTAGATTGACATCCAAATATAAAGTTTCCTTTTTGTACAGGAGGGTTACAGACAAGTCTTCTGACTAAGCACCAATATATTTTATGTGCAATAGTGCGTATAGGATTGGGGGTTTTTATGATATCTTCTGTTGTGAAATTCAGGAATTAACAAGTGCTATTCGCTCATATCTTTGATTTCTTTTACCCCTTTTGTCGAAATTTAATATCCCGTCCCGCGTGAAAGTACATTCGTCCGTCGCTAGAATGTTTTTAAAAAAATTTTCAATGTTTTTGCGCAAAAACCACTGACAGAATGTTAGTCTGCGAGGATAGTCTTCTGGTAACAAGACCTGCACTCATTGTACATGTTAGGGATGAAGCAAATTTTCCCGTAGGATTCTATGGATTATGGTATGCGATAGTCCTAAGCGGCGGCCTAATTCCCAAGTGCTGATATCTGCATTGATTTCCACGATATTTAAAATGCGTTCCTCCTGCTCTACAGTAACCTGTCTTTCACGAGTGCGAATATTAGTGGGCTGAACACTTCCTGTATCTCGAAGTCTTTGGTACACTTGCACAAATGTCCTTCTGTCTGGGTGTACCCGTTGGCGAAAGGTGTCGCGATATATTTGAGCTGTAAGATTTGAATTCTGACGAGCTTCACCGTAAACTAACAACTTGTCGGCACACTCTTGATTCGAGAACATTGTAAATCAAGACGACGACGCACGCGAACAAAAACAAAACAACATACTAACCACTGTTACCGTTTGCGATCGATTGCTGGTTCGATAAGAGTGATGATGACCGACGCGCTGTTGTCATGTGTGTTTTAAATATTCAATTTAATGAAACTTACTTACTGACTACAAATTTTGGCTTAACTTAGAAAAACTTAATGCCACTTATGTGTTAACTACGCAATTTAAAAACATTTTAGGTTAGATTATAAAAATTAGTGATCGATATAAAGCATATAAAGTTGTAAATTATAAAGCCATTTAGACAAAAATCTATTGGCTTTTGGACCATGGGTCATATGAACTTACATTTTGACTTGTTCTGACCCCCCCCCTGTTACCCATTTCAGTAATGACTGCCATAACGCTTACACCCTGTTTATTAATCATATTCCTATTTCCTTTGCATCTACTTAAAGCGCTTCTCTCTTTTTTGTGGTTTTTCTTTCACTTGATGGCATACAGACTGTAGAAATTAAATCATTCTAGTACATGTTGCTCTCTAAATCGTATCTGTACTATTTGTTGTACGATAAATGCTTATTATTATTATCATTATTAGTATTATTCAAGCTAATAAAAATGCATTTTCTCTAGATCATTGATTTCCAAAGTGGTGTATATCGACCCCTAGGGGTCTATGACAAACTGCAAGGGGTCTACGTCAGCGAAACAAAAATTTGGGGGTCCATGAAATTAATATGGGGGTCCACGATAGTGGATCTCAACACATACACTGGACAGTACCTATTTACTTACATCATACTATCTTATAATATCAAAACATATACATTATTTATAAAAGTACCTATAAAGTAAAAAATGTATTATATATGTTTATAAAATTGTGTAAGTTGTAGGATGTTGGTATTCGCTTTGTGGTCGCAATACATTTTGAACTTGTAAAAACCTGACAGTCGCAGTCTCAGAGCTTCGCTACCTTGCACTGACTTGTTCAATTCGTCACTCTATAAATACGAATGTGGGACAAATACGTTTTTCGTTTCCTGAATCTTGAAAAGGAAAGTGCTAAGAAAATATTTTAAAAAATATAAACAGATAGTATATCACACAAATTATAGTGAGTCAGTGTTATTTTGTTTGAGAGTGCTGGAGAAAAGTAAGTAGATTATGTTTTATTAAATTTTAGTTTTGTACTCGTAGTTAGCAAAGATAGATAAATTACGCCAATCATGACTTTAGTTATTAGTAGTTAAATATTCAATCATGCAAAATTACACGAGTACTCCTCAGTAGTTTCTTTTTGAAAGTTTTAGCAATCGGTAATATAATTACAGTGCAATCTCCGTAATTCGAGCTAATTGTTGCAAGAAGAGGTTCGAATTATGGAATGTTTTCGGAAAAATCAAAAAATATTTTTAATATACAGCTGCTGGATTTTCTGTCTTATTCAGAGAATTTAATTTTGCCCACAGATGACTGATGCCATGTCCGAATCTAAAAAGAAATGTAGACAGTACAGTGTTGATTATTTGAAATTTGGCTTCATTCCATCATTGCCAGACAAACAATCGCCTATGTGCCTTTTGTTCAACAAAGTTTTGGGCAATGACGCTATGAAACCATCTAAACTGCAAGATCATCTGAGAAGATGCCACCCTGATAAAACAGAGAAAGATTTGAAATACTTTCAAACACTCAAAGATAAATTTCAGAAGAGACCTACACTGGACAGAATGTTCGCTTGGACGTCACAAAGAAATTATGATGGTTTGCGGGCGTCTTACAATATCTCGTTACTTATAGCAAAATCCGGAAAACCGCATACTATCGGAGAGAAGTTAATTTTGCCAGCCGTTGAAGAGGTTTTAAAAACTGTTTTACACAAACCTGCATCTGATATCATTGAAAGAATTCCCTTAAGCAACAATACTGTTGAAAGACGTATTGATGAAATGAGTTCTGATATTGAAAGCTTCTTATGTACTTATTTGCAAACGACCCATTTCTCTATACAACTGGACGAGTCAACTTTACCTGATAATGCAGCATTATTATTGGCATATGTTCGTTTTATTATGAATCAAGAAATCTACGAAGAACTGCTCTTCGCAAGAACTTTGATAACCGACACTAAAGGTGAATCAATATTTCATGTTTTGAAGGATTACTTTATTGAAAAAGCAATTCCTTTATCAAATATAATATCAGTAGCTACAGATGGAGCACCTGCCATGGTTGGACGTTATCGTGGATTTATAAGCTATTTAAAACAAAATGTGTCAGGGGTGTTAGCAATACATTGCGTCATCCATCGACAACATTTAGTTGCTAAAAATTTGAGTGTTAGATTGCATGAATCACTTCATTTAGTCATTGATGCAGCAAACCGAATCCGAAGCAACGCGTTGAATACGCGGTTATTTGCGCAGTTGTGTGAAGAACATGACGAACACTTTCATCGCTGGCTGTCGAAAGGCTTATGTTTGACAAGATTTTTTGCACTTTTTGAGACTATATTAGAATTTCTGGATACTAAAGATAAAATTTTAAAAGAAAATTTAATGAAGAGGAAAACAGACATCGCCTATTTAACAGATTTGTTTACAGAATTTAATATGGTTAATTTGCAATTACAAGGCGACAGTTTAAATTTGATTAAAACAAAGTCCATCTTATCAGCGTTTCTTGCCAGAGATAAACTAATGAAGCAAAATATTGGACGCGAATTTTCTCAGACAAGCTGCCAGGAAGACGACGTTTCAACTTACGTTCAACATTTGAATGCCCTCTATTCAGATTTTGAATCTAGGTTTGAGGATATTTTGACTATGGTAATATCACCGCGGATAATTAATCCATATGGTGACATAGAAGAAACGAATGTCATAATACAAGAGGAACTGCCTGAACTAAGTACAAGCGAAGAACTTAAGGTTCAGTTTAAAAACGGATATCAGCAATTCTGGCTGCAAAACAACATACCCGTTACTTATCCCGTATTATGGAATATAGCGAGGAAATTTTTAATTTCCTTTCCATCGTCACACCTAGTGGAAAGGGGGTTCAGCGCTGTTACCAATCTCCTAACGAAAAAAAGAAACAGACTGGACATCATTAGCCGAGGAGATTTAAGATTAAAATTGACGCCAAATGTTGATTATTAAAGCATCAGGTTCATCCTTCTCACTAAAAATATTGACTTATTGCTTATGTTATTTTATTTATAGTTTGTTTTATGTTTATTGGTGTCTGACCAATAAATGCCCGCATTGGGAATAAGTGCCCGCATTGATTTTTTTAGAAAATATTTTTTTGTAAATTATTCTGAAAATTCATGGATAGGTATACTTTATCTGAAGTCACTTGAAACACTGTGAAATACCGGGTGCGTTTTATATATCTATATTTAACACGCTCTGTTGCTCGAAAAATCGATAAATTTCGCAGCAAATATCCCCCGTATAAGAGATCAAAGGCAGTTTCACCGGTCCACGTGGAGTAAAGCACGCCTATGCGTGGACATAGCCAATGAGAAAGCGTGTATTTCAGAGCTCGGAACAAGTGCAGGTGGCTACTGAAAATTGAAACAGTTTAGCCAGTGCCGTGTAGCGGTGAATAAACGTGTTTTCTTTAGTCTGTCCGTGTTTTTTCATAGATTTTATTAGTTTGTGTGTTTTTGACTTTTGAATACTCAGTTTACTTGTTGATTTAATTGTTGTGTTGATTGTTCTTGTGTGTCCTGAATATGGCTCTTTGGAGACCTTGGGAAAATGCTCCAAGCCACGAGGAGATGGTTGATGAACCTGTGCAGGCAGAATTCTTTCATAAAGATTTAGAGAAACAGACCCAAAGAGTAATCCTAAATATGTATGAAAATCAAATTTTAAACAATTTGTATCCTGACAAAAATCAGTCGGTCTACCATTTATCGGGTTATAAAAAGGGGAGATGTAGTCAACCATTCCTTCCACAGAAAGCGCATAGGGCAAACATTAAAAAGAATAGACGTGGGTTTTCAGGAAGATATTCGTCGTATAATATACGGATTTTATAAAGAAAATTTGGTGCCCACGTTGGAAATGATACGGGATAAATTAAAAGATTATCCTGAAGATTTTTATAATTACAAATGCTTAGACTCACTGCACTGTATTGTAAAACTGTGTGGTTTTCAATACAAAAAATTAGATAAAAGAATGGTGATTATGGAGTCTTCTCGAATCGTTGAATTGCGCCAAGAATTTTTGCACAAAGTTAAAATCTATAGAGAGCAGAAAAGAAATCTGATTTACCTGGATGAAACGTGGTATGATATCCATGATGTTGTGCAGTACGGCTGGGTTGACGACAGCAACAAGTGCATTTTAAATGCACCATGCAACCGTGGAAAACGAATCATTATTCTCCATGCTGGCAGTGAAAATGGATTTATACCTAATGCCTTGCTGTTATCTGCCAAAAATATCAAAGAATCATGTGCCGACTATCATGAGGACATGACCTCCGACTCATTTGAAAAGTGGATAGAGCAGCAGTTAATACCAAACATTTCCCCAAATTCAGTGATTATTATGGACAATGCGCCATACCATTCCCGACAGAAAAACAAAATTCCGAATACAGGCACAAAAAAACAAGACGTTATTGATTTTATGAAGGATAAGGGAATGGAAATACCACAAAAATCAACCAAAGCCATATTATTGGATCTTATTAAAAGACAAAAATTTGAAAAAGAGTATGTTGTTGACAATCTGCTTCAGCAAAATGGCCATGAAGTATTACGTCTACCTCCCTATTACTGCATTTTTAACCCGATTGAGTTGGTCTGGGCTGCTTTAAAAAAAAGTAAGAAAACATAATCAGACCCCTCAATTAAGTGAATCGCTATTGGCCTCAGTAAGAGATGCAGTATCTCATATTGCTGCCACAGACCTATGGAAGCAGTGTTCTAGGCATATTATTGAAAAAGAAAATGAATATTGTGTTTTGCCTCCTGTAAATCCCGTTGTAATTCCTCTACAAGATGACTCTAGCGACAGCTCCGAAGGCGAGGATAATATATAAATACCTATAATATTTATATTTATATACCTTTTTATATACCTACCTGCTATTTAAATATTTGCCTATGTCAAACGTTGGAATTCTGTAATTTTTCCATTTCTTAACTTTCAGTCAACATAAATTAAACTCCCAATATAAGTATTTTTTATCCCAAATCAAAAAAATAAGAAGATAGTAAAATCCATTTATTGTGATATAAAAACATTATTATTATCGTTCTAAATAAATGCCGCACGCCTATGATACGTCATGAAATTACAAAGGACGCGCCGACCAAAGGTTTTTATGCTATTTCAAGTGACTGCAGATACACTTTACACACTAAAATTCGTTAGTTTTTTGCCTATTTTTAAATAACTTAAACGTATAAGAAGCGGAATTTAATCAAACTAATAGTGAAATTATTGTAGAACATACGTTTATGTTATAATTAATAAACGAACTCGCTTATTGTACTATTTTAAGTAAAAAACTTTTTTTTTATTATTTTTCACTTTTTTTTTATTTTATCCCTCTTATTTTTTTTCAATGCGGGCACTTATTGGTCAGACACCTGTTAATTTAATGTTACGTATATTTTACATAGCAGATACAAAATTTTATTTTGAGTAGTTTTAATTTAAATCCAATTAATAAATGTATAAATTAACATGTGTTTTTACTTTGTTTTTAACACTAAACTTCACTACGGTTAGAAATTTACAGGAAATCAACATCAGGTAAGTAGGGGGTCTACCCAACACGGAAAAACATGGCAAGGGGTCTACGACACAAAAAAGTTTGGGGAACTCTGCTCTAGATGGAGAATGCCCCATGGGAGAGTCCTCCTATCAAGCGACATAACTTTCCAGCTCAATCTTACCCCCATATGTTACATAATTTGAATTGAAAATTCCCTCAAATATCCTTGATGTGTAATTTATGTTAAGGACACCAGCAGCAGCAGGATGGCTGCGTGGGGATCGATCGCTTTATAAATGCCGGAATCCAAATTCCATCGAGAGCGGGCAGGAAGGGCGGCTGTCTGTCTGTCTGTCCAAAGTCTATGATAATCCTTTGAATATGATTACCCGGTTGGTTGGAATTTCGAAGGGAATGTCGATGGGTAAAGGAAGCACAAAGGGTGCTCGCTGCTTTCCTGAACACCTGACGGCTACGAAAAGTAGAGGCAGGCTGGTGGAGTTTCATAGATCAGATATATTGGAGCGTGAACGGACGCTGAGCACAATACAGTGAGTGCTAGATTTAGATACAATACCACATTGTTAGTTCCCGCACATCACTAGGCTTATTCGAACTCCGAACGATACGCCAATTTTTAGTAAAGCTTCCTGGACATAGGTTGACTCTGTACGCAACGCCTGGATAGGAGAAGGATTGACTATGTAGCTATGCACATGCATAAGGAAAAATTTAATGGATCAAGTCAGTCAGACAGGCTGCAATTTCGGGCTTTTGAGGTTTTACCAATTTTTGGCCAGGCAACACGCAGATTCGTTAAAAGAGCAACAAGTAGCCTGACTACGCACTCCCCACGCAATGCTGTCATCAGTCCATAAAGGATTTTATGATACAAATATAACAAACAGAGAAATTATGTGGATCAAGTCAGTCGAATAGGCCTAGTTAGTCCATAGACATATTTACCGATAGTGTCGTCCATCTGGCAACGTTGTCACTCCCTCCATACCTCGCCATTCGAGAAATCCACTAGTCTGACTCGGCGTCGTGGTAGTAACGGAGGGTAGTAAGGGCAAATGTACGGGGAAACCTGTGGTGTGAAGTACGTCTAACAGGGGCGGGATTGTCAGGGTATACAAGTTAAATTATTGCGACCGAAATACTTGTTTTTAAAAAAAAACTTTATTTCGATTAACGGTACAAAAGGACTTTTGTGAAACCTTGTCACGACGATGCGTAAAACAGGACGGTTAGACAAGAAGTGACAAGATTTCCTCACACATGGATTTAGTACAATGCAGTAGAAATATAATATGCTGATACAGAGGATGTTAACGTGTGAACTTCAAGGCGCGAGATAAGATTCCAAAGCGTGGCGACAATGCTAA